AATAAAGCTAACTCCAGGGGGTGCAGCCGTCATAAACTAAGCACAGTCCCAGAGAGAACCGAGCCACAAATCTTAGAAAAACAGTATGGGTGGTGCTTCTTATCTTCTTGTAACTTTGCTGCCTCTTGTGTTAGCCGCATAAATAAATGATAGTAATCCAATGCTCTGGCGCAGAGACAGTAAATTTACCTACCCTCCCTCGGCTTCCCGTGGCTATCAGTGTCCTTGTCATCTCACGGTTCTACTGTCCCCCCATCACACGTTACTCGGCTTGGCCTGATCTGTAGAACAGGGTAACGGGGCTCCCTCCTCACGCCGTGTGGAGACCCAACATCCCAGCAATGGAATTTATTTCGGTGACGTGCAATCATATTCCCGCATTTTAAAGCCACGTGATAAAATTAAAATGCCAGGGAGCTAAATCATGAAATCCAATTAACGTAATTGCAGAGATGTGGAAGAGGAAGGAAATTCAAAAGAGCTGCAGAGAGGCAGGATCAAGCAGAACTGGGCCACCCTCCACACGTGTACCCTTCCTGCTTTTAAAGCGTCAGGCATGGTATTACCCGCAGGACAGAACAGTTCCCTCCCACGCCCACAACTCTTTGTAGGCTGAGATGTGCCGCCTTTGCAAAGTGATTGTCCTGCACTCCGGGTATCAGAGAGGAACCTTCATTCTGGTACTTCTTCGGGTTCTCTGCTCTCCCCTTGTTAAAAGTTAGGTTTGCCCTTTCCCATCCTCTGAGACCTCTCTTGTCCCTTCACAGTTTCCTGAAGCTTTATCAATGATGGCTCAAGTATTGCTTAGTGCTTTGGGATTAATTTCATTACGGAATCAAATTTATCTTAATATTTGTGATCTTTTTCTTGTCTTATTCTAGGCTGCAGTCCTAGGCCTGTGTTAAAATCCATTGCATTAACCAGTGAACTTTTCAGTGATGCCTGATCCAGAGTAGACGTTAAGTGGTTTTCAACTCCGGGTCCATTTTTGCTTTTCCCAAGAAATATCTGTAGTTTTACTGTTTCTTCCATGGTATTTTTCTCATTTCATTTCCCTTGCTTGCTGTAACTCACGTTACGTCTTACCTTTCTGAACAGCTTCACTCACCTCTTTTTGTGCTGCTCCTCCATCATCTGCCATATTTCCATTTTTTTGAGTTTTTCTGCTCTGATTTTCATGTCCCCGGAGCTCCTGAGGCAGCTGCATTGGATTTTTGCTGTCCTCTGCATTGGGTTTGTCTGGCATGCCTTTAAACAGTCTCTGCTAGTGACTGCCAGCCCTCCTGCACTCCATCAGACCCTTTCTGCATAGATCCTTTGTACTTGTTACTTCCGTATGTCAAAATTTGCCCTTTAGTCCATTTTCCTTATCCTGCTGCTCTTCCTCCTTTTCTTAAAAATGTGATGTCACTTATTTTCACATTCAGCCAAACATCACTTTTGATTTTTAACAAGTTTTTCCCTGCTATAGTCAGAAGCAAGTGCTACCCCTTCCCACCGCTTTCAGACCTAAAGCAGTCACCAAGACGTGTGTTTGGACTCCTGACGGTTGTACACTTTTCCAGCAGAGAATTAGACAAATAAAGTGACCCGATATTAAAGATGGTTCTGTCATTTCCCCGAGCAAATTTCTCCTAACGGCAGTCAGTGCTGGATGCCCAGCAGCCCGTGCTCCATGCTTCTTCGCCCTTTGTTCTCCAACCACAGGCATTAATTAACGGGCATTTCACTTCAGAGAATGTATAGACCTTTCTTCTCACGTGTCCTACCTGGAACAAGCTGTCATTTACTATGCCGAGATCCCGGTCCTATCGTTGGTCCCACAAGCACCAGTAATTCTTATTAAGTTGTACCCTTTATTTATGTGGAAAGTCTGTAACTTCTTTGCATTTAATTCCAATGTACCAGCCATATGTATAGGAGCTTCTCAGATGCTGGGCTGCTTTTCCCAGCCTTTGTTCCTCTCTATGCTCCTTTCACCCTTTCCTCTGGCGGATGGAGCCCAGCCATCCCGGCTGTCCTGCCGGCAAGCCCCAGGCCAGCAGAGAGGAAGGGCTGCCGCTGTGGTGGTGCAGCCCTGGCCACTCTGAGAGCTCAGGGTAAGCCCCGTGGGGCTGTTATCCTGGAGACAAGTGCAGCGACTTGGGCGTCAGGCACTCTGGCCACTCCTGGGCCATCTGCTGCCTGAATGGTACGTCACGACGAGCCATGCATGGTCAGGACAAGCCCTGCACGGTCAGGATAAACCATGCGTAGTCAGGACAAGCCATGCCCACTTTGGGAAGAACTCCTGCTGTGCTGTTATCTTGGTTCCAAGCACAGTAGCCTGGAGCTGGGGTGGCCAGGCACCCCTTGGCCATGTTTGGGCTACTTGGTCTCTGAATTGCCTACCAGAATGGCTCCGAATGTGACCAGAATGGAGAATCCTGACCAAAGCTAACCATCTTGAGATCCAAAATCGTAGAATCACAGAATCACAGAATCCCAGACTGGTTTGGGTGGGAAGGGACCTCACAGCCCATCCAGTGCCACCCCTGCCATGGGCAGGGACACCCTCCACCAGCCCAGGTTGCCCAAAGCCCCATCCAACCTGGCCTTGAACACTTCCCTCAAGTGAGACCCTTGAGCTCTCCGGGACGGCAGCGGGCTGTGTGACCCAGTGTCTCCCCTGAGCTGGGACACCTCTCAGGGTAGATTTCGCCAGGATTCAAAGACCATCCATCGACAATTTGATGAGGACTCAAAGGCCTGATGTCCTGAGGCTCACTGCCCACCCGTTGATGAATGCTGGTGCATGAAAGTGAAACTCACGGAAAGGGAAATGTTAATCACAGGTTCGCCTCTGTCTCCGTGTGTGTGTGCGCAATTTGGTTCAGAACTATTTACCTGTCTGTCTGTCTGTCTGCAGTTTGACCCCGGACTGTCTGTCTGCCTGTCTGTATGTGTGATTTGATTTAACCCCCATCTGTGTGTGCAACCCTGCTGTAAGTTTTGGGTGACCCTTGTCATTCTCAAATCTTTAACTAAGTCACTGTTTTGATTGTAACAAATCCTGTGGAATCACTCTGTTAAATTGGCTGATGATTAAGTGCTGTTAATAATTATAAAACCTAATACTGTGATCTATCTCAAAAATATTAATAAATCCTAAATTTCTGCTAAACCAAAGCCCTGTAAGAAAATCTCATCAACGACAGCCGCTCTGACGGCTGGAGTGCACAGCTTGGAGCAGAGGTTTCCCATCCTTGCGTCTCATTCTCCACCTGAGGGGACCCGGCTGGCCCCTCGTAGGGACTGCCTGGTGCTGGGACTTCAGAACCCGTCTCCTCAAAAACTTTCTGACCCCTTTGCATCCTCCCAAACATCCCCAGCGATGCTGCGAGCTGCCTGGCATGGCTGTGGCCGGGCTGGGGGTGCCTGTGGCCGACAGGACAGGCAAGGGGGCCAGCGCCAGCCCCGCGTGCAGCCCGAAGCTAGCGCTGCGCATGGGATGCAGGAGCACAGCTGGGTACGGAAGCTGGCTGGGTCTGGCAGGGTACCGAAAACCTGCAGGCAAAATGGCTCACGGCACAAATATGACCTGAGAAACATTGGCTAGTATTAATGTAATGAATTGAGAATGTAATTGGAACAAGCGTTGAGATGTATAGCCATTCTCCTTTTCGCAGCGCATGCTAAGAAGTGCGTTGCAGGGGTGCAGTGTAACGTACAGAAGAACTGAGCTTCTTAGAAACAAAACCCCCTCCGTTGCTGCAACTTCAACCCAGCTGAAGTTCAAGCGTGTGTTTTTGATCTCTGCCGAGTATGGCCAGGATGGAACAGGGCATTTCTAGGCCTGCCAGTAAGCTACAGTAATTTGAATTTCAAAACTGAGAACTTCAGAACTGAAGGTCTTAAGAGGATACTGATTCGTAACAAGCGGGATACACAATAAAATAATTACTGGAGCTTGCTATAAGGTCATATTTCCACCACGACAGGAATGTGACAATACCCATCAGACAGGTGATGACAGGAGAATAAACGAGACTTCAACTTGAACAAAAATAACTATACTGCGTAACTATAAGATACACATGTGCGTGCAGAGAAACAGCAGATTGAGAGCCATATCAGTTAACTATCCAAACTGGACAAAACAAGAAAAAAACCCACCCTTGTTTCCTCACACAGTGAAGAGATTAATAACAGGAAAAGGCGGCAGGTTTCCAAAAACCGACATGACCCCGTTATTTGGAGTGCTCTCCCAGGGACGCTGCAGCGACCGGCTGAGCCACGCTGCTCCGGGAAGGCTGCACCGCCTTCCCCCCCCCAAACCTGCACACCGGCTGCTCTCTCGCACCGACCCGTTCAGCAGCTATAGGTGCTCAATGGTACGTTCCCTCGCAGGGCAAGCGTGCCATGGCAAGGCAGCACATCTCCATACGCTCTCCCCTCTCCGGCAGGCTGGTGCATCAGGAGACGTGCCTCTGCTGCACCCCGTCTCACGTGGTCTCTGAATGTGGAGCAGATGAATTAAACAAAAAGGCCTTCTTGATACAAAACAATGGGGGCTTTTAATTAAAACCAAAATTTTATTGTATTTCTATCATACTACTGTGTAAAAATATGGGGGATTTTTCATCCTGAAATGCTTACAAAAAACACTGGTTAAAAGAAGGCTGTGATCTTACGAATGTGTAATTATCATCAGTGGCTTTGTATGAGCAAATACACAAACTGGCTACCCTTTCTCTCTAGATGTACAGCAGAACAATATTACGCTTTTGCCATGGTCACAAATCATAGCACACTGCAGAGAATGGCTACGGACTGCCCGCCTCAGCTTTCATTTTTTATTTGTTATCAGACCTTGAAGCATTTCTGTTAAATAAACATCTTGGAATATAGAAAACTTTCAAATTCATATGAATAATGAACTTTCTATGTTGTCTTTAAGGCACATATTTCTATCCAAATTTCATTTTGGTCCAGAGGAGCAATTGTATTTCAGACACCAGCTATCCAGGTATCTGACAGCTCGGTTTGTTAGAATCATCCTTGTGTCCGTGGACCTCAACGACATGTACTGAATTCACCGTCTGTAGCGCAGCGCCGGGTCCCGGTACAGCTTGTTTCACAGGTACGCCTCTGCTCCCGGTTAACTTCGGCAGATGGTCGTTGTCTTTGCAACACCCAGAAGCTATGACGTCCCGAGTCCACTCCTCCTGGAACCTGCAAGCATGAAGGGAAAAGTTATTTTGGTTTCATTTGCTCTGGTGAGGATACAGAACTTTCTAATCCATTCCATTTGCACATTTTGCAAACAACTTGCGCTGTAACACGTGGACTCACTTCTCCTAGCATAAAAACCAGTTGGCAACAGTGGGGCAAATAATCGTGTCTCCGTAAAAGCTGATGCAGACCTTGAAAAGAGTTGTGAGGTTGGTTTTATTTGGGGTTGGGGCAGGTGTTATTTGTTTGTTTTCCACCGAACGAGTCCCCAGCTTCAATTTAATGCTACGCTCTCTGGAGAATATTACTGCGAACGCTTGAACGCTGAGGCTGGTGCAGAAGGAAAGTCCTTGCTTGGTTAGTGGAGCACCGCTGGGAGCACAAGAGCCAGTTGTGCTCCGTGGGATCTGAGGTGTTATTTGCAGAACTGCCAGTGATGTCGATGCAGCACGGTCACGCCGTGGCTTGTGCTAGCCCCTGACTGCCGGACCCGGCTACCGCCTGGCCCTCCCAGAAGGGACCGCAGGCTGGGATCGGTACTTGCCAGCTGCGTGCGTACGCAGCACTGGGGGTCACCGGCCCATCCTGCACCCCGGGAAAGGGCTTGCCCAGCGGGGTAAGCCAGCACAGGCTGCTGCCCCAGACAGCAAGGAACCTGGCAGGGCATGGTGTGGGCAGAGCAGTGGCAGACAGAGCTGGCAGAGCTGCTGGAAAGGTGCTCAGGAAACTACACCCGACTCCGTCAGGAAAACGGGGGGATGGGATCAGGCTGCTCTTGAACTCTGCTGCAAGAGGCACGATGCAGCTGGCTTCAAGCACGCAGCTCTGAACCAGGGGCAGGTAAGACACAGCCCCGTTGGGTTTGTGCCAAATCACCGTAGCCTGAGCACATGGGCTTTCGTAACCCCCCGGTTATTCCGTGGCTGCTGGTTGCGCGCCAGGCAGAGGCTGAGGTTGCTGGGCCCACATTCGCTGCAGGTGAGCTGGCTCACGTGGCTCCTCCAGCTTCCTCTGAAGCCGGCGGGGTTGGCCACTGAACGCAGCAGCCTGCACACCCACATCCAGGACGTGGTCTTACCCCTTCATATATGAAACACTGGTCAGGAAACAGAAGCTGCATTCTGCAATTATCAGGTGCAGAAAGCCAGCAGAAACACTCACGCACAAAATGTGCATACATATAGGAACCGCCGGGGAGTTACAGAAAGTAAAACCAAATAACCGAGGTCTTGCTGTTCTGGTACAGAGTGGGTATACTGCAGATACATCTTTCCTGTAAAGGAGAATAAATCTTGCTCTTCGCTGGAAAGCTGTATTACAAAACCAGCTGGGGCATGAGCTACCGTCAGTGTAAAGGCATTTTGAAACACCTCTGCATTTGATGTGAGCAGGTGGTGTATCAGCGCAGTCAGAATACACTCACAGATTCACAGACTGGCGGGGGGTGGGAGGGGCCCCTGGGGGTTCACT